TGATGTTACATTGTATGTGTACCACATTTCCTTTATCCATTCTTCTGTTAAAGGGCATCTAGATTGGCTCCATAGTTTAGCTCTTGTGAAATGGGGTGCTATAAACATTGATGGATCTATGTCACTGTAGTGTGCTGATTTTAAGTCCTTATAAACTGAGGAGTAGGATAACTGAGTCAAATTGTGGTTCCATTCCAAGTTTTCTGAAGAATCTCCATACAGCTTTCCAGAGTGGTTGCACCAGTTTGCAGTCCCACCAGCAATGTATCCCCAAATCCTTGCCAATGTTTATTATTGCCTGTATTCTTGATAAATGCTCTTCTGACTGGGTTGAGATGAAATTGTAGAGTAGTTTTGATTTTCATTTCTCTAATTGCTAGAGACGATGAACATTTTTTCATATGTTTGTTGATTGATTGTGTTTCTTCTTCTGTGAAGTGTCTGTTCAGTTCCTTGGCCCATTTGTTGATTTGTTGTTGTTGTTGTTGAGTTTTTTTGAGTTTGTTTGTTTTGGTTTTGAGGGGTTTTTTGTTTGTTTGTTTGTTTGTTTTTTGAAGGGGGGCTGTTTTTGTTTTTGTTTTTGGTACCAGGGATTGAACTCAGAGGAACTCAACCACTGAGCCATACCCCCAGCCCTATTTTGTATTTTATTTAGAGTCAGGGTCTCACCGAGTTGCTTAGTGGCTTGCGTTCACTGAGGCTGACTTTGAACTCGCAATCGTCCTGCCTCAGGCTCTCAAGCCGCGGGGATTAAGGTGTGCGCCACCACGCCCGGCTTGAGTTCTTTATATACCTGGAGATTAGTGTTCTATCTGTGGTGCATACAGTAAAGATTTTCTCCCATTCTCTAGGCTGTCCTTCATGTTATTGATTGTTTTCTTTGCTGAGAAGAAGCTTTTTACGTTGAATCCATCCCATTTATTGATTCTTAATTTTACTTCTTTCACTTTAGGGGTCTTTTAAGGAAGTCAGATCCTAGGCCAATAGGGTGAAGATTTGGACCTGTTTTTTTCTTCTATTAGGCACAAGGTCTCTGTTCTAGTGCCTAAGTCTTTGATCCATTTTGAGTTGATTTTTTGTGCAGGGTGAGAGTCAGAGGTTTAATTTCATTTTGCTACATATGGATTTCTAGTTTTGCCATTTGTTGAGTAGGATACCTTTTCTCTAATGATTGCTTTTGGTGCCTTTGTCTAGTATGACATAACCATATTTATGTGGGTTTGTCTGTGTTTTTGTTTTGTACCACTGGTCTATGTGTCTGTTTTGTATCAATACCACGCCATTTGTGTTACTGTAGCTCTGTAGCAGTTTAAGGTCTGGTACTGTGACGCTCCTGCTTCACTCTTCTTGCTGAGGACTGCCCTGGCTACTCTGGGTCATTCTCTTATTTTTCCAGATGAATTTCATGATGGCTTTTTCTAGTTCTATAAAGAATATCATTGGGATTATAATAGGAACTGTATTAAATCTGTTTAACAGTTTTGGTAGTATGGCCATTTTGACAATATGAATTCTGCCTATCCAAGAGCATGGGAGGACTTTCCGTCTTCTAAGGTCTTCTTCAATTTCTGCCCTTAATGTTCTGTAGTTTTCATTGAAGAGGTCTTTCACCTTTTCACCTCTTTTGTTAGATTAATTCCCAAGTTGTTTTTTTGTTTTTGTTTTTGTTTGTTTGTTTGTTGTTTTTGAGGCTACTGTGAATGGGGTAGTTTTTCTAATTTCTCTTGCAGTGGATTCCTCACTATGCATAGAAATGCATTTGATATGTGGATATTGATTTTATATTCTGCTATTTTGATGAATTCATTTATTAGTTCTAGAAATTTTCTGATGGAATTTTTGGGACTTTTCTAAATACAGAATCATGTCATCAGCAAATGGTGATAGTTTGAGTTCTTTTTTCCTATTTGTATCCTTTTAATTTCTTTCAACTGTCTAATTGCTCTGGCTAGAGTTTTAAGGATGATGTTGAATGGATGTGGTGAGAGAGGGCATCCCTGTCTTATTCCAATGTTTTCAATTTTTCTCCATTTGAAATGATGTTGGCCTTGGGTTTAGCATATACAGCTTTTACAATGTTGAGATATGTTCCTACTATCCCTAGTTTTTCTAGTGTTTTGGACATGAAGGGTTAGGGCAGGCTGCCACAGTGAAGGTTACTGAGCCATCTGGTACTCCAGTGATTTGGGGTCCTAGGGACAAAGTTGGTTAGTGCAGGAAGTGAGTATGGAGGACTCCTCCTCTTCTCTCAACTCCCAAGGCTTGTGTGGTGGAGATCCCTGCAGTTACACCAAGAACAATACAATTGGGGTGGGGGTGGAGCAAGATACTTCTATGCTAATGATGCAATTTCTGAAGTGTCCACAGGGTGACAGGCTTGTGCCAGATTTGGAAATTCCCATTTTGGAAATGGAACCTCACAAATGGGACCCTGCTTCTGAATGGAGGTTTCAACACTCAACTCCATGTCCTGTTGATAATTTATCAAATTTTATTTTTATATAAACATAATAGATTTACCTCCCTCAGAACAAAATGGATGCTTCAGGAAAGCATTTTAGTTTAATATGTGGCTCTGGGTGCCCATGATGCCACCCCTGGGATCAGAGAACACCAAAAGGGAGTTGTCCCCACCCAAGTTCTGTGACGCCAGGAGAGCAGCAGAAAAGAGCCTCAGACCCAACACAAGGTTTCGGACTCTAACCATACCACAACACTGCAGGGCCTCTCTCCTGTCAGGGGTAGGGTCCCAACTTCGCTCCCTGCCCACCAGCATCCTCCAAGAGCACTGTAACTTCCCACAAGGAAGAGTGTAAGAGCTTTGGGTTGTGCCACTGTAATTCTAAACAAGGCCACAAGGTGTCAGCATAAGGCCACTTAAACAGACAAATGGAGAAAATCTGGCACTGGGGATTTCTGGGCTACCTCAATTCTTTCCTGCATAAAAGAGGATCTGACCAGATTCCAGGATTGGCCTACTCTGCCAGGCCTGAGAGACGGAGACATAATGAGGTTTTGCCATGTCGTGTCCCTCAGCCCTGCATCCCAGTTTTTGTTCCTATGGTCCCTCCCACCTATGGGCCCTATAGACTTTGTCTCCTTGTGGAAGACCCGTGGAATGTAGGGCTGGAGATCCCAGTCCTCACACCCAGCTCACCAACGTCCAATGCCTCTAGTACTATCTAAGTGGCACCATGGCGTAGCTGGTTTCAATTGGAACCTTCCTACCCTGGCTTCCTTTCCTTGCCCCCCTCTTGCTTAAACACCCTGGGTTACAAGATGCTGATGGAATAGAATGACCTTGAACCTGTCCAGGTGTGGGAATATACTTCAGGGCACAGATGCACTCATTGGGGAGGCTCCATGTTTCCGGGGTTTTGATCTAAGGAATGTGGGCTCCTTTCCTTTCAAACCTTAGCAGCAGACCTCCTCAAACTGAGGGCATCCCCTTTGGCAGTCCTACCATGGAATCTTGACTGGTTTGGGGTAAGTCCTTCAACCTCTCTATTCCTACTTCAGCTTGGAAAGTCTCCGTCAATATCAGCAGATGACCCTGAAAGTAGCTCCTTGCAACTTTCAGCATTTTGCAGCAGACAGTAGGAGGAGGCACATGCTGCAGAGCCTCTAGCCCATAAAGTCCCAAAGCAGAGCAAGAGTCATCATGAAAAAATGCCTGTTACACCCTAATAAGTGTGGGATACTTCATGCACATCACATGGGAACCTGAGGCCTCTATGTGCCCCAGACCTGAATCAGAGTCACTAGCATCTCTGCAGCCCTCCTCATCCAAAACAATTCCCACCTGCCCTCCAACCATGGGATAGTTTGGCTCTAAAGAATCTATATCTTTTTGGGACCCCTTCCCTTCACTTTTGAGTTATCCTCAAGTCTGAGTCTCTTCCCTGCTGAAAGCCCCATTCTCTCCACATATGTACTCTATCCTTCCCATTTAAAAAGGAGTTCAGGCAAGGGCTTGGAAAGATAAAGGGAGAGGGGAGAATTAAATCCCAACATGAGCTAAAAAATCTGGGTAAAATAAATACCCAAGGAGCGAGGGGCTGGACTGTTGGAGTGTAGGGAGGGTGGACTGGTGGTTCTCTGGGGAGTGCATATGTCTTTACCTCTTTGGAAGTCTTTGCTCTGCTTCCTGCTCTCCATCAAGGCTATTAGCAGAGGTTTCAAGTTCCCACTGAGACTTAGTCTAATCAGGCAGAATATCTGCTGCCAGCTCTGAGTTGGTGCTGTGATTGGTGTTTCAGCCAGGCTTTAAAGACTGTGAGTCTGGCCAGTCATCCTACCCAGAAGTCCCTGTGAGTGGCCAGTGCTGACAGCATGTCACTTGCAGCCATGTGCTTAGTGCCTAGCACCATATATGGGGGGTAGGGGGTAGGTTAAATATGACCAGTGAATGTGAAAAAAAACTCCCATATGAGTCCTCTGCCAAAATAATATGAAAAAAAAATGACTACACTGTGCCACACGTGTGCTGGGAACGATTGAAAAGTCATTTTATTATCATTTTTTTAACCTTTTTTTTCCCCACTTAGGCCACGCCCCCTTTTTACCAGTGCCACGCCCACAGACATTCCAGGGTGTCAAGTGACTGCCAAGTGTCACTCCAGTCAAGCCACACCCCCTCCTCACCCCCTACACGCAGTCTCCACCTTCTAGCTAAAAAGGAGCACTTCCGGCTTATGCCCACACCCACATACGTCCTTCCGTCCTTCCACTGGGTCAGGGATGGGCCAAAGTCCCACCCCCCAATGCACCCATGCCCTAGTGTGGACAAGTGCCATAGTCAGCTGCCCCAATACTACTGAGCTGGCGCAAGGATTCCCAAATTTGGAGGGGCTTGGAGAAAGGCGTGGAGGGGACGAGGAGGTGAGGGCAAAGCCAGTTTCAGTTGAGCAGGCGCTGTGCTCAACAGTGGAGAGGCTACCCCACTTCTAGGGGCCCCTTTATCATGCACTCTCTAAAAAAGCGCTTCACCATTTCTCCAGCCTCAGCCTCGTCCCCTTCCACCTCCTCCTCCTCCACGTCGACCCGGCTGGAGGGTCTGGGCACCACAACCAGAGCACCCCCTGCTTTGGCGGCAACTGCTAATATTGGCCCAGCCAGCGGATCATCGTCCGGGCAGTTTCGGCAGAGAGTCTTGGGCACCAGTGATTCCCCGGTCCTCTTTATCCACCGTCCGGGAGCTGCGGGGACTACGCAGCGACTAGAGTACAGGTAACTGGCCTCCCCTCCCTTGTGCTGCACCCTCTGTGTGGGGGAAAGCTGCATTTGTAATGTGCAGGCCTGGGTGGGCTGGGGGCTTCAGACAGCCAGGAGCCTAGTCTCTAAAAGAGGGAAGACCTTCTTTTACTGGAGGGCCCAGCAGAGCAAGCTTCCTAAGAGTAGCCTCAACTTTGGAGAGGACAGGAAAAACAGTTGGAGAGGGGACCCTTATAAGGCTGCACAAAGGCACAGAGCCTTTTGCAGGAAAATAGGTTTTCCTTCTAATCTTCCAGGCCAAGCAGGAGGGGCAGGGGAGGAAGGCAGTGCTGCTCTTCCCAGCAGGGATGCACAACTGTTTCTCCAAGTGTAAAAGGCAGGGTTCTTCTGCCTGAGTTTTCTCTTGCTGAATCCTCCCACCCCACATGTAGTCCCAAAGACCACCAGGACACTGTGTGGAGGGGCCAGGTCCTGAGATTCGGAAGCTGTTTCTCTTTTTTATACCACTTTAAAATTAAGCTTCCCACTGCTTGCTCCCTACACCTCTGAACACCACCGAGAACTTGGAGTGAGAAGGACCCTGAAAGGACAATGCCCTCTATCTCCCCAAAAAGGGTTTTAAAAGGGAAAGCTGCTTTTATCCTGATGGCATGTCCAGCTCCCCTGCCACCCTCAGCCTCCCCTGTCCACAGAGTCAGTGTGGGGCATGTTCGTGTGTGAAGTCTTGCCCCTGTATGCTGGATCCCAGGAAACTCAATCCACCCAGTGTGGTGTTTATGGGAAGGGGGTCCATTTCCCCAGAGAAGCCCAGACCTCCCCCACCATGTCCTCCCCCCACCTTCCCAGAAGTCCCCTTCCCCCTCCCCTAGTGGCCCTCCAAATGCAGAGCCTTTGTCCTTCCATTTTTGCCCCCTCATGGGGTGGGGGTCTTCACTTCCATTCAAGTGGTTGTGTGGGAAGTGGAGGGGAGACCTTCATGTTTTGTGTTGTGGCCTCTAAGGCAGATCCTCTGTGTGCAACCCCCAGCCAGTGCCCAGGCAGAAGCCTACCCACAGCCAGGAACTGGGCTGCCCACCCAGCAGGGGGGTCTCCTGCTTTTCCATCACAGTTGACAGACTTGGCAAAGTTTCCTCTTGCCACTTTCTCCCTCCCTTGTGCTTTGAAAAGGGGGAGATAGACAGCCAAAGGGACAGGAGGGAGAGACAGTGATCAAACCCTCACAAGATGACCCTCAGCAACCCCCCACCCTACAGCAGCCAGGGCAGAAGAAGGGGCCCCATGCTCTGGCTAGAGAAAGATTTGCAAATATAAATAGTAAAAAGGGCTGGGGTATAGCTCAGAGGTACAGCATAACTGGGTTCACTACCTAGCACTTGGGGGGGAAAGTCATCTTAAAAATATCATTTTGCTTTTCTCTAGGGGCCGAATAATCACCACTGAGCTCGTGAAGGAGGAGGTGGATCCCAGTCCCCAGCCCCAGGATCCCAGTCCCCAGCCCCAGGAACCCGCATCTCCTCCGGCTGTGCCCCCTGCTCAGCCTACCCCTCAGCCTGAGCCCCAGCAGGTCAGGGCAGCCAGAGAGCCCAGTACAGAGGTGAGCTGCTGTGGCCTCTGGTCCAGGAGATCTCCTCACTCCCAGAACTGAAGCCAGCTGGCTGCCAGCACCAGCCCCTAAGAGGTAAGTGTGCTGGCATCTTGGGTAGGGCAGAGGCGTCCACTGGTACAGCTCTCCTTACATCAGGGGTCCCCTTGAAGAGCTGCACCCCCAGGCACAGATGTCAATCCCCCCATTTCACAGTCAGTCAAGGTTGGAAGGTCCATTCGAAGTCACACTGCTGGTGTCTGGAAGTCAGGTGGTGGTAGGCTCCAGGTGCCTCTCTGCCTTGGGAGCTCAGGTGTGGGCAAAGCAGGTTCCCCCGCAGTCTCTGAAGCAGGCTCTGCAGCACGGAGGTCCTTGGAGACTCCTGAGAGGAGAATGGCAAAAATGGGCAGGAGTCAGAGGGAGAGGGCAGGCAGCACAGGGGCAGGCAGTGTTCCAAGTGAGCCCAGATTTGAGAAGGGGGGAAGAAAACCGAAGGGGAAAAAGAAAAAAATCTCCAGCTGGGAGACACTGGGAGAGCCAAGGAAAGCTGGGGGGTGTGAGGCCGGTGTTCTGCCTCTTGGAGCTGCCAGGCTGTAGGGCCACCAGCAGTGGCTTGACCTCTCTCTACCCACTGGTCAAAGTATGCTTCCAGCCTCCTGGCTGCATGGTGAACAGCAAATGAGACAATGACCAGAGGCATTCTGAGCACCGTGAGGGGCCTTACAAGTGGCAGTGTCATGATTCCATTGTGTTCTGGAGGCCAGCAGGGCTTCCTGTGAGTGAGTGGGGGCTGGGGGGCGGGTGGCTAGAAACAGCCTGGGGCCAGAGCCGCCTGCCTCTGACTCTGCCGGAGCAAGCTGGGTGGTGGCCACCACTTCATTGTTCAGGTACTGGGGTGGGTGGTGGGGGAAGGGCCTGGGTCCTGGGCACCATTGGAGGTGGGGGGCACAAGGGTCTGTTTCCTTGTGTCTGACTGGCAAGGGACACAGGCCTCCTTCTCCTCTGACTCTGCCGGAGCAAGCTGGGTGGTGGCCACCACTTCATTGTTCAGGTACTGGGGGGGGGGGGGAAGGGCCTGGGTCCTGGGAATCATTGGAGGTGGGGGGCACAAGGGTCTGTGTCCTTGTGCCTGACTGGCAAGGGACACAGGCCTCTTTCCAGAGCCTGCAGGGAGGGACCCAGCCAGTGACCCCTTCCAGGCCGCTTTGCCCATCTCAGAGAGAAGCCAAGAATGTTCTTTTAAAGGTATCTTTTTAGTTCAGACACTACATGAAATAGTCACGAAGTGGTGTAGCAGGTCCTTCCCCACAGCACTGCTCCCTCCCCGGCAGCCCCAGCCCTGGCCACCCCACACAGATCCAGACCTACCCGACAGGGGCTTCAGCTTTTGTCTTGTAGATCAGCTGCTGGGTAGTTGGTCCCAGGTGTTGATGGTTCCAGTGGGCCTGGGTCCCTGGGCCAGGCTGGCGGGGGTGACACCTGGGTCCTTGGCTTCCCAGGCTGGCAGGGATGACACCAGCTGCGTCCTCTCAGAGCAGAAGGTCTGCGCCTGTGCCCCCTGTGCCAGTGCCCTGCAGGGATGAGGGAGGGCGCTCAGGGGACCCTTGAGATCCGAGCTGGGTTTGTAAAATGCTGGGCTTGGTCCCAGGGCGAAGGGGAGCAGGCACCTCAGAGCTTGAGCCGGGGAGTGAGAAAGGCCCACAGCAGGCCGGCAGGAGCGCGAGGCCGGGCAGCACTGAGCCAGTGGGGCCGCAGGCAGAGGACACCAGCCGGGCTCAGGCTTGGTGGGCTGAGTGGAATCTGTGAGCCCAGGAGACCAGCCCTGCTTTGGTGCCTGAGCAGTCGCAGGTGGGGGTCGCCTCCGGGGGGCTGAAGTTACTGCCGGCCACACTCTTCTGGCACCAGGATATTCTCAGGCTGCTGGTAGGACCCTTCCTACCTTGGGGAGCCGGAAGTAGGGGCAAGGAGAGGGCTGTAGGGGAGAACCCAGTCGCTGTCCTAGCTGGGGGCAGGGCTGGCGATCTTTTTGAGCTTCAGGGTGACCCGGCCTCCCGCCTGTCCCTTCAACCACACTTTTGACTAAATAAGGCTAGGCGGAGGCTCTCTGAGCAGTCCCGTGGGGGAGGGAGAACATGCGTGCCCCCCACTGGCCTGGCATGGCCCCAGGGCCCTGGTGGCTCTACAGTGGGCATCCCAAGGTGACCTCAGCTTCCTTCCTACCTCTGAAGAGTCCGAGCTGCGCGTTTGAGTGCGGTGGGTGGCTCCTCCAACAGGCACTTCTTTCTGCCAGGGCAGAAAGCAGAGGGTGGGTCTCCAAATGCACCACTGATGTGACTGTCCCCCAAGCATCCCCCAAAAGGAAGAAAGCCCACCTCTGAAATGGAGTTTCACCCCAGAGCCTTGCCTATTCCCAACTTGGGAAGCAGGCCTGAGGAATGGTGGAAAGCCCCTAGCGGAGCCAAAGGGAGCCCTGGGTTTGTCCTTAATAGAGACCCTCAGCAAGGATTTGAAATCCAGGCTGGTCTTGCAGGGATTGGGGAGTGCAAAGAGACTTTTTAAAAAATGCTCCCCATCCCCAAATTTACAAGTCTGTCTAGAGTGGGGAACTCTCCCGCATGCAGTACCGGGCATGCTCCTGTCTATAGGCACACCCGTGACAGGCCAGAAGGCCTGGGACAGGAGACAGCAGGAGGCTGGTGGGAAGGGGAAGGGGGGCAGTGGTGGGTGGGGGGAGACAGGCCAGATGTTCCTGGAATGGGACACAGGGGTGATTGATGTGGACTGGAATCTGAAAGGGGAACATTCCCCACGTGCCTCGTGCTCTGCGTGGAAATGGGCTGCCTTTCTTGGGGGTGGGGGCCTCCCTGTCTTGCCAAGCTTATGTGAAGATGCCTAGGCCCTGCCTGGGTCCCCACACCAGTCCGGTGTCATTGACCCCTGCCTCCCCCGAGTGTCAGGCTTGGGGATGCCCCCCTCTCTATTCCGGGTCTTTCAGCAGGGTGACAGTAGGGAGGAGAAATGCCTGCTGTTCTGGCACCCAGGATTCCTACATCCTGCTGCCCCCAGCAGTGCACCCACTCTGGCACCCCCACCAACAAGCCCCGCTAGGGTCTCTGCCCCTCACTTCCAACATGGCCCAGTGCTGAGGGGGTGGCCTTGTTCGCAGCAGCACCATGTACCTGCCTGTGGGTTCAATATTTGCCTGTAAGGAGCTGGACTCTTCCCAGCCGGGGTGAGAGGCTTGTGAAAATTCTCTTTGAGAAAACGAAAGGAGAGCTCTAGCTCTCCCAGCCACCATACAGTTCTGCGCCCCCCTGCTCTTCCCCCCATTTTCTCCTTTGCTTCCCCGTTTTCTCTCCTCTTTCTCGTTGACCAAACAAAGCTGGTTTCGCCCTGGTTTGGGGGCTGGCGAAGGCCGAACGGCGCGCGGGGAGCGCCGGGGCAGGAGGGGGGTGAACGCCTGGGGTGCTCCGGGCCCCCAAGCCGAGCCAGGGACGAGCCTGCCCCCGCGGCGGCCGGGCCGCGGCTTCGCCTAGGCTCGCAGCGCGGAAGCGCGTGGGGCGCAGTGGTGGCGGGGAGCCTGCAGGCCTCCTCCGCGGCGGCCGAGCCGGGAGCCGGGAGCCCTGGGAGCACGCGGGGAGCCGCGCCCCGGCCGCTCGTCCGCAGCCCTCGAGGTTCTCCGTTTCACACAGTCTCGGGCTCAGATCAGGCGCCACGGAAGCCCCCTCCGTGACGAGAAGCGAAAAGAACGAAAAGCTCATTCCCTCGGCCGTGCGTTCCAGAGCGCCCAGGGCTACCTGCCCGCGCCACCCGCGCCCGGGTTCCCGAGCCGCCGCGGTGCGGCCGGCGCTCGCGTCCCCCCCGGGAGGGCGCCACTGCTCCGCGCGCGCGTCCCTGGGCGCGGTGGGTCGGGCCGCGCTCCTTCCCGCGCCGCAGCTTGGCTTCTCAGATGCAGCCTCAGATCTCCAGGGTCCCAGTGCTCGGAACAATTTCCCTGCTTTCCCCGAACTCCACCATTACTTTTTCTGGGATCCTCCAAATTTAAACATTGCTCCCCGGGGCCTGTAGATTCAGCATTTTCACAGCTCACAATAATTTTTTGAACTTTAATTTCCAAACATTAAAAAAAAAAAAAAAAGACCCTGCTGGCTTCCCCAGAGGTACACTGCGTGGTTGAAGCCCCAAAATTTGTTTTCTCTGAGGTTCTTAACAATTTTACATACACCCGCCCCAAGATCCTAGAGCAACCCGGATCCCCCAAATTTCAACTGGAACCCCTTGGTCCTGTGGTAATGCTGACAAAATCTCCTGGCCCTCCAGGATGTGGACAGCATTCTCCCAAAACAAGTAGAATGTTTCCGTGTCCCTAAATTTTGAAATATTAATTCTAGGGTTTCCTAAATTGACTGTTCTGACTTCCCTGTATTTCAGCCCTATTCCTGATTCACTACCGTCTGGAACACTATCCACCGAATTCTACAATCTTTTGTCCCCAACCTTTTCCCCTAAATTTTACACGTGGAATCTCAGGTCTACTCAACCCTCTGAGCAATTTTCCTAAACCCCTCAAAGATTGAACATTGTTTCCTATGCCTTCTCCCAAGTTTAGGCATCATACCCAAAGCCCCTTCTGAATAATCTAATTCTGATTTCCTGATCTCCATAAAATTAAATAACTCTTTCACCAATAATCCCCCAGACTCATTGAGCAGCACCCTCCCACACACCACCACCATGGGCCACAAGGATTTGGGACCTTCATTTCCAAGGCTATACAAGCTTCCTGGCCACTAATCAGATTCTTTGCAATGTAGCCACTGTGACCCAGGCACCAAAAAACAGGCTGAATGATTACCTAAGATGTGATCAAGTGTGAAAGAGGGTCTTCCACCCTCTCCCAAATCCCAAATACGTGGAGGCCCACCTATTGTGGTCACAATGTGTATAAAATCAACCTTGAGCAGAGCCTATTTCTTGTTCTTCCAGGCTTTCTTGAATGTCCCCGTTTCCCCAAACATTCTGAGCTTTCTCTCTGCATCCACAACATTTTAAATATTAAAAAAACTCCCTGGGTCCTCCTAGTTTACTGACAAGAATCGGGTTTTCTAAAACTCCAATACCAATCCCAAATCCCAGGGTGACACTGGACCCTTTTCCTCATGTTTGCACATTCTGAGCTCCCTCAAATATTAGGTGATGCCCTCCAGCCCCCAAACACACTCAGTATTATCCTTGAGTTACAGGAAGGTATAGATCTCCCGGCAGAAAAGTATCCACATTTAAGCAATATTTTCAGCAAACGCACTGCACACTGCCTACAGATCACAAGTTTTGGACATCAACTCTCCAGGCTCTATAACTTAGAATTTCTTAATCCCTGTTCCTCAAATCAGATATTGACCCCCAAGTCGTCCAAGGATCCTGAGCAACTTCCATGAATTATTGGATTGAAAAATTATTTTCCAAAGATCTCCAAATTGAAGTACTTAAAACAAATTGAGATTTTTTTTTACCTTCACAGAACAACTGAGATTTTATTAAATTTTAATAAACTTTATGCCCCATGCCCTGAGTCCCCCTAAGTTTAAGCAATATTCCATGGGCCCCCGAAGCACACCAGAAAATATCCCTGGTCCCACAAATCCTAGAATTTAGAGGTCTGTGTTGTATAAGTTTTCTAACTACTAACTTGGTTACCTGAAATTTAGATATCAGGTAACCAAATTATCAGAATTTAGATAGTTTCCATTGGGTAATTTCCATGGATCCCCACATTTGGACTATTTTACTGGGGCTCCCCAAATGCAAACATGGTCAAGGAAAACATATAGCATTCCCCCACCTTGTTCAACAAAAATAAACTAAGTAAAGTCTATTTTGCAAATTAAAATATAAAATGACATTGATTCTCTGCATTTTTCAAATATACTGCTTACAACCCGGGTTCCCCAAAATTTAGAAAATGTTTCCCAAGTGGTTAAAGAACTTTGAGGATTTTCCACAAAGCCGCAGTAATTAGGAAGGTTATAGTGCTGTGAGTATCCAGGCCACTGACCTGCATTCTTAAAACGTGGACGTTAATCCCAGCTTTTTCCTCTGACCCATTAAGAATTTGCCCAGATCCCCAAAATGCATCTGTTTTTCATCCCTAAAATCTTAGGCAATGTGCCTCTTAGATTCCCCCAAATTTCATGTAGAGAAAGTTATTCCATTCAACCAAAAAACCTCGCCCCCTTCTATTGATCTGGGATTTCGTGGGTCCTCTAGTTGCTAAAATGCTGAGTTCCCCCATTTCAGACTCGGATCACTAAGACCCCCATTGCATGGAGGAATTTCCTTCACTCCCCAAACTTGGACGCTTTTTTTTTTTTTTTTTTGAGTCTCAAATTTAGCCATTAATCATGGTTCCCCCCACTAATGAGTCTCCTCTGGGTTCCTCTGCTTCTGGACACTCATTCTCTGGGCTGCAAATAAGACAGAGCTCTGATTTCCGATCCCCGAAATTTGGGCATTGTTCCCGGCCCCGCCAGTCGCCCTAGGCTTCCTCAATCCTTCAAGCAGTGGGCACTGGTTTCTGGCCTCTTCTCGGCTCCTACGGAATCCCCAGAGCAACTTCGGGTTTTGGAAATTTCTCTGTGTGTGCCGCAAACACACTTAGGACGGCCGTGCGACCTCCAGGACGTGGGCAGTGCTTCTCCCGCGTCCAGGAAAACGACTGGGCATTGCCCCCAGTTTCCCCCAAATTTGGGCATTGTCCCCGGGTCTTCCAACGGACTGGGCGTTGCCCCCGGACATTGGGGACTGCCCCCGGGGTCTTGCTCACCTTCAGCAGAGTCCACTGCTCGCCACAGAGCGCTCGCCCGCCTGCTGCCTCGGCTCCTCGTGCACCCGCGAACACAGCCTCCAGCTTCGCGGTGAGCTCCCCTCTGTGCTGGTCCCGCCGCTCTGCGGCCCCAGCCATTCTCCTACCCGCACCCGCTGCCCCTCCTGGTGCTTGTCTACGGCGGCAGCCCCAGGCTGATGAGAGGCGCGGGAACCCGCTGCGTGCTTCCCGCTCAGCGGCCGCAATCCCTCGGGCTGAGCGCCCCGAAACTGGCGCCACTTTTGTTGAAAGATCACAACTGTTGGAAAGCGGCGTGGATCCCCCGAACCGGTGTGGGCAGGGCGCTGGGTCGGTGGGATGCGGAGGAGAGGCGCTCCCCATCCGGGCGGCGCGGCGCCTCCAGGCCGCGGGGCCAAGGACTTGGGGAGGCGCGCGCGGAGCGCGGGCGCAGTGATTGATGGCGGAGCAAGGGGGCTAGCTGGCGCGCGGGTTTCCGCCGCCCGCGGCCCCTTCCTCTCGGCGAGGCGCGGGCAGCGCGGGCTGCGGGGGGCGGGCGGAGTGCAGGGGCTTGTGAATGGTTTTGACTTGGCAAAAATCACAATGCCTTCTTACATCGTCCAAACTCTCCAGGAGATGGTTTCCCCAGACCCCCAAATTATCGTGGTGGCCCCTGGGGCCGAACCCGAGTCTACGCAAGTCCAACGCACTGAGGACGGGGGAACCATTATCCGGATATTTTGGGTGGGTCCCAAAGGCGAGCTGCTTAGACGCACCCCGGTGAGCTCGGTCATGCAGGTAGGATTTGAGCTACTTTTCCCGCCCTGCTTTTTTCTCTCCTGACGGGCGCAGCCTCCGCAGACACGTTCCACGCCTGGCCCAGATTTGGCCGGGCCCAACTGGCCTGCACCGTGTCCCGCACCTTGCAGCCGCCTTGGCTGCTTGGGGCTCCCGCGCGGCACCGCGGCACCGGGGGGCGCTCCGGATCCGGCTGCGACTCGAGGTGCTTCAGAGCCCGCTCTGCCTGCTTGGGCAGGTGGCGGCTGTGCGCCCCACCCGAGCCTGGGGTTTCTCCCCTCTCCTGGCATCTCCCAGCTGGGACCCCAAACCCAGAGCTGGGCCACCTGCGCCGGGACTCTGATGGGACGCCCCACCACGTGGAACCCTGAGAAGGCACCGGGATCCCCACTACCTAGGGTCGGGGATGCTCGTCCCGCGCCCGCTCCGCACGAATGCAGGGTGCCCTAGCACCCCGGAAACCAGGGATGAGGCCCCAAATTCTGTCGAACGGGGATTCGCTATTTCGTTCAACTTCTGCGGCTCCCAGCCCCCCCACCCCGGCTTCGCGTCCGCGCACCCCACGACCCCCCCAACCGTCGCCCCCCGGGCCCGTGGCCCCCAGCCCGCGTTCCCTCCGGTGGCTCGAGTTGCGGGGGCGGTCCCGGGGCGGGGCAAGGGCCCTGCGGGCGCCCATTGGCGCGGGCGCTTGGCCAGCGGGGCCCGAGCGGGCGCCGAGCCGCGGGGTGGCGCGGCTATAAGAGCCGGCGTTGGCGCCCGCAGTTCGCCTGCTCTCCGGCGGAGCTGCGTGAGGCCAGGCCGGCCCCCGGCCCCCCCCTTCCGGCCGCCCCCGCCTCCTGGCCCACGCCCGCCCGCGCTCGGCCCGCCAGCGCCTCCATCCGGGCTGGCGGCCCCGCGTCGACGCCGTCCGTCGCCTCGCTGCTAACTCCCGTACCGGGCGCCGTCGGCGGGGCCGCGCTCCGTCGGGCCTGCGGATTCCCCGCCGCCTCCTCCTCCATCTACCTCAACACCCCGTCCCCGCTTCGCCGGAGGAGGCGGTCCCCCCCGCAGGCAGTCCGGCCTGCAGGCCGCCGGCGTTGTCATCCCCCGCGCTCCCCCCCAGCCCTCCCCCGGCGCGCAGCCCGGCCGCTCCCCCTTCCGCGCTGCGTCCCGAGCGGCCCCCGGCGCCGCCACCGCCTGCCCCCCGCCCAGAGGCCCGGGCTTGCGACGGCCGAGGGCTCCGTCGGCCCATACCGAGCTGGGCGCCCGCGGCCTGGGTGACGCCTCCTCTCCGCCCTGTTCAGCACCGTCCCCGGCCCTCGACGTTGCGCTCTTCCCTTGGCTTCTCCGCCCCGCTCTCTCTCCGCGCCTGGCGCGGCCCCGCTCTCCCACCGCCACCTTTCCCGGGCTCCCTCCCGCCCCCCCCCCAGATCCTTGCCTCCAACTCCCTCCCCCCTCAAGCCCGCCCTCTGCCTTCGCCTACCAAAGTGGATTAATTATACGCTTTCTGTTTCTCTCCGTGCTGTTCTCTCCCGCTGCGAGCCTGCCCGCCTCTCGCTGTCCTCTCTCCCTCTCGCCCTCTCTCTGCCCCCCCCCTTTCACGTTCACTCTGTCTCTCTGACTATCTCTGCCCCCCTCTATCCTTGGTACAACAGCTGACCTCATTTCCCGATACCCTTTCCCCCCCGAAAGTACAACATCTGGCCCGCCCCAGCCCGAAGACAGCCCGTCCTCCCTAAAGAAGCAGAAGAGTCCCCCCCCCAAAAAAAAGCCATCCCCCCGTTCTGCCCCGTCGCACATTCGGCCCCAGCGACTCGGCCAGAGCGGCGCTGGCAGAGGAGTGTCCGGCAGGAGGGCCTTCGCCCGCTGTTCGGCTTGCGCTAAAGCAGCAGGGAGGTGGGCGGCAGCTTCGCGGCTTCCAGGTAAGCGCGGGCCGCGGCCGGGAGGGCAGGCGCGGGCGCGCGGGACGCCTGGCCCTTCCTCCCGCGGGGTTCGGCGGGGAATGGCCCGCCAGGGACAGAGGTGGGGCGGGGGTCCCGTTCGCTCTCCGTCGCGCTGCTGAGTGGGGGAGGGGGAAGGGGCGTCGGGCTGCGCCGGGGAGGTGTGAGCCGTCTGCTCAGGCGACTTCCTGGTTGGCCTGTGGGTCCAGGGGGTTGCTGCAAATGTGCTATTTGTGCCGTGCGGGACCCTGTTGCTTCAGGGTGCTGGGTAATGAGGAGGGGGGCAACGTCCCAGAAGCCCACCCTGGCGTGTTGACTTGGTGCCAGCAAGACAGAGAGGAAAACTGGGTGGGTGGGGCCAGGAGGGGCGCCGAGTTGGCAAAACAGTCATGCCAGGCGCCACATTTGCAAAAGATTCTCCCGACACCCCCTATCTCTGCCCTCAACATTTCCAGTGGAGAATCTGGGGAGAGGGGCCGGTTTGAATCTCAGAAGGACAGGGGTGTCCTGCTCAGAGAGGGATAACTTGTCCTACCCTTGGGCAGCATGGAAGTTTCCATACAAGGAGGTGGAAAGGAGCCCCCCGCCCCCATTGCCCTGTGCAGAAATGGTCTGGGGGTGCAGACTGAGCCCCCCTCGTGGTACTCTGAGGAGGGATGGACCAGGGCTGGCGTTGGGGGGGGGGGTGCAGGAGAGATGGGACTGGCTGGAAGGAGGGAGGGGGCGGGTGCAAAGGGGGCGGGGGGAGTGGTCAGCAGGGAGGGGGTGGGATAGGGTGGAGCCGGGGCTGGGCGGAGCCGACTCAGACATAAAAGCCGAGGCACTGACCAGCTTGCAAACTGGACATTAGCTTCTCCTGAGAGAGACTTCCAGCCTCCTCCTCTTCCTCCTCCAGCTTCGGCGAGCCCTGTCCAGAAGCAGGTAACAGGCCTGTGGAAGAGGCCCTGCTGCCATCCTGCTCTGCCTGCTTGGCGGCCCAGGGTACTGCCCAGCCTCAGGCCTGGGCCCTGCAGCGGGCCTGCTGCTCTCACAGGCCCTCCTCTCCCCAGCCTCTGCCCTGCGCTCCCACCTGTTTCCCTGCCTCCTCACCTGCTCCTTTCTCTTCCTTCCTTCCCCTCTGCTTCCCTTCTCCAACAACTTTGGGGCTTTTTCCCCCGGCCCTCACCTGTCTAGCACCTCCACATGCCTCTTGGCCAGTCCCCTGCTTTCTGCTGATTCCCTGGGCTGGACCTGGATCTAGAGTGGTCGGGTGTGCGGAGGGGTCTTCACGGGCAGCAGGTTGGAGCTGCCCCTCGACTCACTGCAGCCGAGTGGCCAGCCACTGTTTGCTGCTAGAATTTAGAAGGGGCGGTAGAGGGAGGCTGGCCGGGGGTCCTGTGGAGGAGGTGGGCAAGGTGACTTTTAGATCCTCCTGCAGAACTGGCTAGTGCTCCTCAGGGAGCTTAAAGAGATGGTTTCTTATTTCCCGCTCCGTCCTGCATATGATTTATTGCATCAAGAAACCCCTGGGCCTGCGGAGAGAGGGCTGGGGCTGCCGGCCTGGAGGGCTCCACCTTCCGCAGGGGCAAGGGCAGCTTGCGTGTTTTCCCAGCCTCCCACCAGTAACCCTTGCCCTCAAAGCCTTGGGCTTGGAGGGGGTGTGTCCTGCAATGAGCCGCCCCTTCCAGGTTGGGCCTGGAGGGTCCTGGTGTCTGGCCTCCCAAGTGGCCTGACCCGCTCCCTCCAGCTCCCTCCGTGGAGTTTGTATTCCAGTCGGGAGATGCTCTGATGGTTCTGGAGGGACTCGGGTCCCTGGCACTGGGTGGTGTGAGTAGAGACCTGGAAAGGGGATTTTTGGCTTTCTCGTGAGTTTGGGGGCACCCGTGATGGGCTGCATTTGGGCTGTGTGATCTGAGAGCAGTGCTCTCTGAGTGTGGGCGGCATGGTGGCTCTAACCATTGGGTCCTTGACCTGAGCTTTGCTAGTGCAGCCTGGAAGGGAGAGGGCAGGAGGGGCTAGCCCAGCACGACATGCCGACATGCCCGCGGCTAGGGAGGGATGGTCCGCCTGGATCCCCCTGTCCTGCTGGGGGGTGGGGAAGACAGGGACCAGTCAGTCCTCTTGGAGGCACGTGCTCCACAGTGGGGTGGAGCCATCTGCCATCTTGGCAGGCCTGGGAAAGGAGCAGTGGTGACGTGACCTTGGTTTGGCCCCACCCCCACGATGTCACAGGACGGAGGCCAGGGTCCAGCACAGCCCCTGTGGCTGTGGGTGTGGCTCAGCTCCTGCAATTCTGACCTCAGTCTGGGGGTCCCCACACAAATTTGCTGCCATTTCCTGCAACTCAGAGCCGTGGAGCGCTTGCGTGGCTCCCAGAGTCTCTCCCTTTTCCAGGCGGCCTAACCCTTCAAGCATGTGTGTTGTTTTTGAAGTTAAAATAATGGCATCAAGAAAGCTGGGCTTTTGGATTTCTATGACTTTCAGATTGAGGAGGGGGGGCACCTCTGGCGGGGAGGGGCCTGGACCCCGGGTGTGGCCGGCGCTCACTGTGGTCTCTCCCGCAGATACCAATGGGGATCCCAGTGGGGAAGTCGATGCTGGTGCTTCTCACCTTCTTGGCCTTCGCCTCGTGCTGCATTGCTGCTTACCGCCCCAGTGAGACCCTGTGTGGCGGGGAGCTGGTGGATACCCTCCAGTTTGTCTGTGGGGACCGCGGCTTTTACTTCAGTAAGTAGCTCCAAGGGGTGGGGCGGGTGGGGGGTGTCCACAGCAGGCACTTAATCAGTCCATGGGATACAGCCCCCTCCCCCTGGCCTGGGATGGAGGCCCCCCCCCCCCGCCCTGACTCTGGCCCCTCTAGCAGGTACTGAGCCACAGTGCAAGCAGGGGCCCCCCTGGGGAGGTGGCTGGGGGTCCAGGCTCATGCGGGCAATGGGGGGCGCTTGCCTTTTTCCCTGCACCATTTTAATGGGGCACATGGGCTTGTGGATGATCAGATGTCAAATCTGACAGATTTCAAATCAATAAGAATGAAGCAAACGTGGTTGGGGGCAGGGCTGTTTGTCCTCAGCTTGGGAGTAGGGAAAACAGCTGCACTCCCGGGGACACTGGGGCTCTAGGGCTGCACTGTGGGGTGCCCACCTGCCTCGACTACTGCTCACTCATGCTTCTCTCTCTTCATTTTCCAGCCTTGGGGAACTGGGGGACACTTGGGTGGGGCTGGAGGGGAGGGGCCTCAGGAATGTGACTCCTCTTGCCGGCATGGACTGCCTGTCTACCCCCTGGCACTGGCCAGGTGGTCTCTTCCTCTGCAGCCTCTGCTTACCTCCTTGTGAAACGGGCTCACAGAATGTACCTGCATTTCAAAGCTTCTCTCTGAAAGGCCCTGCTGCTGCTGGATACCCTTGAAGCCCCTGCTGCCTGGCCCCTCTCTTGCGCTCCCTCTCGCCTGCCTCCTTGGGGGGGCAGGATGTGGCACTGCGGGGGGCCTAGGTCCTTGCTCTGGGAGTTGCTTCCCTGCACTGGGCTTTCCTAGGCAGAGAGCTGGGCCGAGCCCCTCGTGGGTCCCCGAGATGGGGCTCCCTGTCCCTACCCCCACAGATGACGCCTGCCCTTTGGCGCTCCAAGGTGAAGTCCCCAGCGAGCCTCGGACCTGAGTGCCGTGGGGGAGAGGGGGAAGACGGGAGATGAGAAGAGAGCGGTTATGCGGCTCCTCACTCCTCCCCTCCTGTCTTGTTCTCTCCTGCCCGATCCTCCTGGTCTCAGCGCTTGGGGGACTCCAGGCTCTGAGGCCAAGCCTGGCCAGAGCCCCGAGACCTGGGGCCACACTCATGTGCACCCTGTGGGACTGTGCCCCTCGCTGGGCTCACACCCCACCTGCACGTGGGCTGTGCCTGATTCAGACAGGAGGCAGGAGGCACCAGAGGCCAGGGGCTGGTCCTGCAGCAGCCTCTTTTATCTCTCCTTTCTGGGCTCTTCTTCCTGCCCGACTCTCGCTTTTCTCCCCCCTCCCCGCAGGGTGATGGAATGTCCGGGCCTAGCCTGAGGACAGGGGTGGCTGCCTCTCTCTGCAGCCTTCTCTGGGGGGGGGGGGTTCTGATGGGTGTTAACCTCCACTCTTTGTCCTGTGGGTCTTCCAGGCAGGCCCGCAAGCCGTGTGAACCGCCGCAGCCGTGGCATCGTCGAGGAGTGCTGCTTTCGCAGCTGTGACCTGGCCCTCCTGGAGACCTACTGTGCCACCCCCGCCAAGTCCGAGAGGGACGTGTCTACCTCTACGACCGTGCTTCCGGTGAGCCTGGCACCTCTGCTTACCCAGAGACAGGGACAGGACGTTAGGTATTTGTTTTAGCAGCTGGGACTTTTTAGCCAAGGGACAGGGGTGCAAGGGACAGGGGTGGGGCAGGGGCATGGATAGGTCAGGGGGAGCCAAGTCTGGAGCTGACACCCACCACCAGCCCTTTCCTTCTCAGGACAACTTCCCCAGATACCCCGTGGGCAAGTTTTTCCAATATGACACCTGGAGACAGTCCGCCCAACGCCTGCGCAGAGGCCTGCCTGCCCTCCTGCGTGCCCGCCGGGGTCGCATGCTAGCCAAGGAGCTTGAAGCGTTCAGAGAGGCCAAGCGTCACCGTCCCCTGATCGCCATGTCCTCCAAAGATCCGGCCCACGGGGGTGCCTCTTCGGAGATGTCCAGCAATCAGAAGTGAGCCAAATTGTTGTGATTCTGCAGTGTGTACCATCAGCTCTGTGACCTCCTCTTGACCAGGACATTTCCATCACGTCCCACCACTCAGATCTCTGTTCCATTTCTGCCCTAGGGTTTCTCCCACCCAGCCCCCATGCCCCGCCTCCCCACATCAGGCGACTCCTCAGCCCCCCTCCACCGGGCTGAGGGAATGACACCACCTTCAAAAAACGAAACCAATTGGCTTTAAACATCTTCCACAGAGACCCTTCCCCCAAATTATACATCCACAACTAAAAGTTGAAAATTCAAACCCCTAAATTGTTATCTCACACACACTATATAGCCCCACTTAAAATTCAATTGACTTGTTCAGAAACATCAGAAACACTAATTACCTTTTTTTTTAAAAAAAAAAAAAACTACTAAAAAGAATCAATTGGCTGAAAAAATACTAAAAAATTAATTGGCTTAGAAACAATTGGCAAAATAAAGGAATTTGGCACGCCCCCCCCCCCCCTTCCTTCTCTTCCCCTTTGGACCTTGAGTCAAATTGGCTTGGACTTGGGTCCCTAAACCATCCAGAGAAAGGAAGGGGCCCTGCTGCACCATCTCCCACAGCAACTCCCAGGCTCGTCCTTCACTCGACTTACCATCATGGGTCAACGGGGAACTGGGCGGGGGACCCAGTGAGACCACAGCACGGGAAGGGAGCATGAAAACCTCAACCTCACAAATAAATTTTAATTGGCACAACCCCCTCCCCCAAAATCTCACATCTCATCCCCTGCCTCAGAAGGCACACAGCAGCCCCCCGCCACACACACTGAACACTACCCTCAGCACATTGCATACACACACACACACACCCCCTCACTCACACACACACCCTCACACACACTCACACACACTCACTCACACATAAAACCAGATGAAGCAGTGAGAATCCCTCACCAGCGCCCCTTGCACAGATCAGGCCTAGGTCCATCCCAAATTCTCTGAACTGTTTTCATGGTCCGAGCTCCCTTCCTGCCCACGGCTTTCGGGGCCAGTGCTGTGGGGCATTACATCTGCCTGGGGCGCACTGTAGGGTGGGAGATGGTGCAGCCCAGGCCCAGGCAAACGGTTCCATCTTTCCCCATGAGGGAGGTGCCTGTCCCCACGGCCCTGCTGCAGCGTGAGCCATCGTGGTCCCCAGACCCCACCAACGTCCATGCCCTGTCCTTGTGTGTCAGCCTGGCCGGAGTGAGGGACGAATCTGGCCAGATGGAGATGTGGAAGTCAGCAGTCATGCTCCCAGAGTAGCCAGGCCTGGGTGTGCATCTGGAGAGACCTGGGGGGACCCCCCCGGCATGCCCAGGAGACTGGCCCTGATGTGGGGAGTGTGGGAAGTCTGGCGGTTGGAGGGGTGGGTGGGGGGCAGTGGGGGCTGGGTGGGGGGAGCTCTGGGGTAAGAAGTGGTCCCGGGAGGTTTTGGCTGGATGTCAGGAGGAAAAGCAGTTGAACTTGCAGAATTACCAAGAGAAATTAGATCCCAAATTTTACGTCAATTGATCTTTTCCCCCCTTTGTTTCTTGGGGCATATTTTCCTTTTTTTTTTTGATCCCTCCTTAGCTTTTCATGCGCTCGTCAATTAAATTACACCCTTTCCCCATAACAGGGGAGCAGTGACAAAGTATGGAGCCCTACCACTGGCACCGACACCTCCTGCTCCCCGCCATTTATCACCCTTGATTTGATTTTTTTTTTTTTTTCAATCTATCCCTTTTGCTTGGGTTGAGTTGGGAGTGGAGCCTTCATGGGGTTCCGGCCACTGTGCCCCATGGAGAAGCCAGAGGGGAATTGAGAAGGCCGCTTCCCGGCCTGGCATCCGGGGACTGTGGCTGGTCCCTGGAGGTTCTGAGGGGCGGAGGAGGGCTGGGGCAGTGTCTCCTCAGGTGTCAGGAGGGTGCTCGGAGGCCACAGGGATGGGGCCCCCGGCTGGCCTGTGGCTGGCTGGGGGGGAAGGGGCTGCAGGTGTGTAAGCAGAAGGGCTCCATCCGGCGGGAGCAGGTGGCCGCCTTCCGCACACTTGGGGAACACTCCCCTCCCTCTGTGACACCATACCCGCTCCTCAGCGCCCCACCTTGTCCACAGGAGGTCCAGAGCTCCGTGGAATCTCCTTTGGTCAGGGTGGGGTGAGGCCAGGAAGCAGGGGAGGTCAGGAGGCTCTGAGCCCGCAGAGCAGGAGAGCTGGCCATCAATGGGGTCACTTGGGCCCTGAGGCCCGCGGGTCTGGCAGTGCTGTGGCAGCCACCCACAGCGCCTAGGACTGTGGCAGGGACCTCGGGCGGCTGGAGGCCTACCTCACCCCCACTCCTGCCTCCAGTGCAGTCCCCCTGCACAGCAGTCCGACTAGCAATCTAGGGGCCTGAGGCTTCTGGGCCCTAGCGACAGGACTGGCATGACCCTGGGGGCGGTCCGTGCCAGCCCGACCTCAGCACAGAGGGTCCCTCAGCTAGTGCCTGGAGAATGGGCCATTCGGAACATTGGACAGAAACCAAAGCGCAAAGTTGTTTTGATTGAAGAGTCGGATTGGCCTGAGATCCAAAACACTGCGAGGCACCCTAAATTCCCTGCCCGTTCAGTGGGACACCCACCCACAAACAGTGTTATGTTTCGCCTCGCTGGGATGGGTGCTCCTGGGGTACTTGCACTCTGCCCTCTGTGTCCCCTAATGTATGGCTCTCCCTGGGTCGCTGGCCATCCTGACCCGGGCACCCACCTGGCCTCCCGTGCCCTAGTGTGGTCCTCCATCTTGTCTCTTCCCCCACATCCCCCCCCCCAACTGTCTTCAGCAGGACCCCCTCTTGGGTCCCTCCCTTTGCCATCACCTGAAGACCCCCCCACGCGACGAACACCTGTGTCACCTTGCCGCCTGTGTTGGTCCATCGTGCAGCGGCCCTGTGTTTGCCTCAACTTGACCCCTTTAACATGCTAATATTTCTGGCAAAATCCAGTGCTTGGGTTTTGTCTCTAACCTGTTATCGCTCGCAATCCCAATAAAGCATTTAAAATTATTTTCTGAGTTCTTCCCATTTTTACTGGGGAGGGGAGGGAAGGGAAGGGCGAGGATGGTTGGGGAGGAACAGGGCAGGGGGTTTGGAGGGGAGGGAAGGCCTCAGAGGTGTGGACCTCTTGGTCCCCCCAAATCACATAAGGACGACTGGGTGGGACTCCCCCTGAAGCTGGGGGCTGGGACAGTGTCAGGCACCCACTGTGAAGTGGGGGAGGGCTGTGGGCTTTTCCAAGGGAAGAGTCAAGGGTTATCATGCGAACCCCAGGGTTGGGGACGGGGCTAATCACCTGGAAGGGCTTCCCTGCCTATTCCTCTCCTGGACCCCATCCCACCACACAAAAGGGGGGCAGGTCCCCAAGCTCAGGAGGAGGTTGTAGCTGGCACCAGATGCTTGAAGGCTGGTCTGGCCTCTACCCCCCATGGTGGGAGAGGGGCTGGGCAGCCTTGAGAGGGGGTTCCACAGTGAGAAGGAGCCTCCCTATTCTCAGAGTGTCTGGTTGGTGTGGCCTCACACCCTGGCCCTGGGGACTCCACTCGTCTGCTTTTCTTACTGACTGGGTGCTGAGCTGGCACCCAGCTGTGAGGGTTTGCAATGGCATGCACACTGCCCAGGAACTCCTCTCAGACCCCCTTGGGGTGAGCAGTGGTCAGAGGGGGCTGCTGGAGGGGTCAGGGTCAGCCTTGAGGGTGGGGAGGACTGGGGGTTGGATCTAGAAGGCAGCAGGCCCCTCTTGAGGCAGCCCCAACCAGGCAGAGGAGAAGCTGGCGTGGGACCCTGCTCCGTGGGCCGAGGTGGTATTAGCCCAGCTCCCACAGTTGCCTCTGAGACCCTTCTGGGTCTGGTGGGGTGGAGGCCCAGCCCTGAGCTGCCCTGAAGCCACTTGCAGATTTTCCCCACTAGCCCCACACCAGAATCTCCTGAGGCCCACCTTAGTCCTGACTAGACCATCGTCCTCGGCCCCTGAGCTGCCTAGGCCTGAGTGGAACGGGGGTCAGGGTCTCTGGGCTCCAACCCCTGGCCATTTTCCCCCAGGCCTGCTTCTCCCGGACCTGCGGCCCTGGGTCAACTCAATATTGGCATTTGCTGCACCCCATGCCCTCTCTAGCTGCCCCTTCTCCATCCCCAGGGGCTCTCCTGGCAGCTTCCTCACTCCTTCCCCCACCCCTGTTGGCACTGACTTCCTCGAGACCCCATGACGTCCCCTGACCTCCCCCAAATCCTAGGGATAACCCACCCCTCTGCCCAATTCCCTGGGTCAGTCCCGTCTCTCAGCAGCGTCCTCTAGGCTCCCCCTGCCCTCACCGACTGGGCTTGGCCCAGCCCCTCCCAGGGTGTCTAGGACTGCCTAGGGCCCTCTCTTCTCTGTCTCTTCTCTGCAAATTCTTGGTTTTATCCAGAATCTGCACCCACCATCCATTCATTCACCCACCCACCCCCCACCTGCCTATCTCTCCATTCACTCACCACCCACTCACCCATCTACATATCCACCTATCCACCCACCCATGCACCCACCATCCATTCATTCACCCCCCATCCACCAAACCATCCACACCGCCAGTCACCTATCTACTGTCTTCCCTCCCTCCCTCCCTCCTTCTGTCTGTCCCTCCACCCTTCCATCCAACCAGCCATCCAGGCATCTAGCTAGCTAACCATGGTCCACCCATCCACACCAACAGATGGGCACCCCTCTATGCAGGACGCTCCAGGCTGGGAGATGAGCAGCTGCTGTGGAGGGGCCAGGAGGCTCTTTGGAGCTGGGCAGGCCCTGAGGAGAAGCTGACCCTGGAGAAGAGACCTGAAGAGGCGAGGAGGTGTGTGCAGTGTGGGAGGGTGTGACGTGGGTGGGTCCGGACTGTCAGAGCAGCACTGGGGCAGGGTGGGGCTGCAGCAGAGGAGGGGTCCAGTGTAGGTGGTGAGGTCCAGTTGGAACAGGGGCCAGGGGCCAATGCCATTAACCCAGCAAACACAGACCACTCCCACAGTGAGATGTCTGGTAGCCCTCAGAAAGACACACACACATCCTGACTCTGAGTCCCATGAAGGTGACCTTATTTAGAGAAAGGGTCTTTGCAGAAGGATCTTGTGATTAGGTCTTCTTGGATTTAGAGAGGGCCTAACTCAAATGACAGGCATCCTTGGGCCAGAAGAGGGAAAGTTCACACAGGAGCATGGTCACATGAAGCCAGAGGCAAAGGCTGGAGTAATTCTGCCCCAGCCAAGGGATGCCTGGGGTCCCACAAGCTCAGAGAGGCAGCAAAGACCTAGAGCCTTCCAAGGGAGGAAGTCCCTGCTGACACCTTGGCCTCAGACTTCTGGTTTCCAGACTGTGAGAGGAGGCATTTGTGTAGCCGTAATCCCCCAGCTTGTGGTCATTTGGGAAAATAATTATACTAGGCGAGATACACCTACTCTGTCCTAGCCCTGTCCCAGGCACCAAGGATTCAACCATGAGCTCCTGAGCAGCTTCTGGGTCCAGGATGTCCACAGACCCAGTGTCCCCAAGCCTACACCCCACCTGCTCTGGGGTCCTCTGCCCTCCTCCTCACTCCGCACTGAGCTGGTCAACAAGGCTCCACCAGCCAGTCTGGCTGTGCTCCACCTGGGACCAGAGTGATATGTCCAGAGCCTGCCACTCTCCCCTTGGAACTCTCCATAGCTCCGGTGGGCCCCTGGGTGAAGGCCCTCTGGCTCACAGGAGCCCGCCCGCCTCATTCCTCAGCTACATCCCATTCTCCCCTCCACCTCTGGCCCCTCACGGCCCTCGCATCCCCACCCCCCTGCGTCACAGGCTGCACTCTCTCCAGGCCCTCTGGACGGTCCTCACCCTGCTAACTCCACACACCCTCTGCTGCTCTGGAAGTTCTGCTCCCTGCCAGGCATCTGGCATTTACCCCCTGCCCCTGTCCCCCAGAGATGCTGGTACCCATGGGCAAAGGAAACCTGCTGTCAGGTGGTCCCTGAAATGTTGGAGCTCTCCCTGCAGCCCCCAAAGTAGAGCTGGTCAGAGAGGGTGCCTCCAGGAACCCCGGTACCAGCCCCTGAGCTTGCTCACTCGGGGTCCTCCTGCTGCCGCTCTCCCGACACCTCCTCTGTGAATGCTCTCCTGGCCTCAGGCACCAGGCCTCATCCTCAAGCCACCTGTGTGTGTCCACCTGTCTGACTGACCCCGGCTCTCAGGGTCCCCACTCTCTCCAGCTGCCCAGGCCTGCCAACCAGGCTGGTACTTCTGCACAGGTGCACCCAGGCTGGGGGGCATCTGGGCCTGGCGTGTGGGCCACCGTCCAGCAGCTCCCTTGATCCTGGCCTCTACCTGCTCCATAGGGCTCTGGCCCTGCCCAGCCCCCTCCTGGCCCAGAGGCCACAGCCTCAGGCCTCATTAGTGCAGCCTCCAGCCTCTCTCCCCTCCCAGCCCAGCCAGCCCAGGCCTCCACCGGCCAGAAACCAAAGAGAAAATGCCTGTTTATGCCAGCTATGCCGAAAGCAAAACAGTTGTGGTTTGTGACCCAAATTTTTTGCCTTTTTTTCAGAACATAACAAAGCCCAAGACAACTCCCTCCCCGCCCCCGCCCTCCCCCAGGCAGACAGAAGCGATCTGTTTACACTGGCTGCAGCACATTCCCGGCCAGCCCTCTCCTCAGTGCAGTGCCCTCGCACTGGGCGCTGGGCACCCGGTGGAAGCGTTGCTGGGCCTGGCCGAAGTGGAGGAGGAGGGGCTGGCAGGGGGATGCCTGCTTCTTCTGGAGACCCAGAAGCAAACTGGGGTCCACATCCACCTAGAAGCATGAGCAGGAACTCAACCCACCCTGGACAGGGAAGGACAGCCGGACCTCCACGGTCCCCCGTTGTCCTCCACCAAGGGACCCCCTTCACAGGTCTGCTTGGCCCAAGCAGCTACCTCCACTTTACAAGGACAGGTGCCTAGAGCCATGGGGTGATGGGATGCCTCCCCACTGAATGGCCTCTCTCCTCTGCCCCCTCACCCCTTTCTCCCCTCCTGGTCACCCTAAGCTGAAATACCCACTCAGTCCAGCATGGAGCCCAGAGTGGGCACCTCCTCTGCCAGGGGGCTGGCAGCTCCAGAAGATCTTGGGTCCGTGCTGCAGCTTGGCCCGGGGGAAGCCAGTGCCAGGAGCTGGGTGCCGTGGGGGACTTGGACCCTGTTGGAGTCCAGTGGGGGGGGGGCAGGCAGGACCCCAAGGTGCCCTGGACAGTGAGAGGGGCTGGGCAGCCTCCCCATCTGCAGACTACCTGTGCGGCCAGCCCTCCAGGGAGGTTGGAACATGGAGAAAACCTTGCCTTCCTGCTGGCCTCACTCGGTGCAGGGCCTCTCCCCTGCCAGCCCCTGTGCCTTCTCTTCCCGGCCTCTCCCTGTGTCCTCCCCTCCATCACTTCCCCTGCTGCCTGGGATGCTGAGAACCCAGGACCTCAGAAGAAGGGCCTCCTGGGCCAAGGGGCCCGAGGCGTCATGGGGGCGAGAAGTGGGTGGGCCTGGGTCCGAAGGGTGTGCAGGGGTTCGTGAGACACAGGGCAGAAGAGCGTCTTAGCAGAGGAAGTACCTGGAGGGCCAAGGGCCCCAGTGCGGAGCCAAGAGGCAGAGCTTGACCCTTCGAGGACTCTGAGCAACGGGCAAGGGTTTTCAGGGGCCGAGTGAACCGCTCAGAGGCAAGTTCTAGGAAGGTGTTTGGGTGCCGGGCACAACAGAGCTAAGAAGACTGGGGGTGTTGGTGGGTGGAGGAGGGGTGCGAGGTGGGAGCAGGGGGGCTCTCCTGGGGGGAGGTGCTCCTGTGGCCAGCATCACTGCAGGCCTGCAGTGGGGGGTCTCTCCAGCCCCCCCCCCCCGACCCAGAAGGGCAGGCCTGGCTCCCAGCTGGGGGAGGGGCAGAGAGGCAGCGCTCCTGCCTTGGGCCCTGGAGGCCGTCCGGGCAGCCCACTGCCAGGCTGGTAGCCCCCTGCGCTTGGCGCTTGGCGGGGAGCACCATTTGGGAAAGGTCTGG